CGACTGATCTGCCTCGCCCGGGAAGAGCGCAATGATGGTGCCAACTTGGGCCAATGAAGCAACATCCTCCACAACTAGACTGAAGAACAAAACGACCGCAACTTGTCTGTTCCCCTTCCCCTGATTCCCCAACGCTGTTCCCCTCCCCCAATAAAATCTTTTTAAAAAAAAAGCAAATGGGTAAATCCCCAGCATTATCTGTGTAATTTCTAAAGCTTTAAAAAGCAACCTATTTACCTCATCTTCTGTGATGTCACCTTGCTTGTCTTTAATCTTATTAGCGATTGATTTTGATAACTCCACCATTTCCTTAGCCTGTCAAGAGATCAGTAAAAGACTGAAAAGATATAATGTCCCCAAAGTGTCTGCTAACAAGATATTTTCAAAATGGTATCATAATTGGTATGAAGTTAGGAGGTGTAAATGATATATACCTTGATCATCAGCTTGCTGAGGTCTTCAAAGGCCTGAAATGAAAAATGAGTTTTTGTTGGAATCTGTCTAAAGAATTAAAATGTTTTACAGCAATAAAGCACTCCATTTTCTTTGCTATGATAAAAATTTATGAAATTTTCTTATAAATATCAATTTATTTATATAAATATTTATAAAGTAATAAATCTATTACTAAATTCTTATTCTAAGACTTAGTTTAGCTAAGAAACCATACATTTCCCAAAACAAACTGCAAAAAACAAGTTTTCAAAGAGAAAAGTTACTATTGATTTAAACAAACAAAAAGTGACATATGTAATAAACAGTTCAGAAAATATTATTTACTGTTCTTTGACACAAGTAAGAAAATTTGTCACTGGCTTTTCCCCAAACCATTTCCCAATAGGAGGTCAAGAATCAAAGGCAGTAGAAAGCTTTCCTGGTTCAAAATGGCAACACGCAGCTGCAGGAATACTTCTTTGGGCACAACAATTTTTGCTTCTAGATCAGGTATAATTTAATTGAAACCATAACTCTCAGCCTCTAAATCCTGAACAGATTACATCTGTGGCTTTGGATACAGTGGCTATGACAAAAGAAAAACATTCAAATACCACCAAAAAGTATCTAAATAAAACCCATCGATTGTTTAATTTACTATAATGAACATCCACTTTCAAGGCCTCTTCAAATTTAATCTGACACATTTATGTAAATTTGTTTCAAATTACCAAAAATATACTGCCAGTGCAGAATACCTGCTGTCTAATTGATGTGCCCAGATGTTATTTTTTAAAACCGATTAAGCAATTTATCATGAATTGAAAATCTTTTGTCTACATAGAATAACGATCAATAGGTTTTGATCAGCTCATGCCCATCTTAATTCCACGCAGGAAAGTATACCCCATCTGCAAAACGACTTTGCTAAAGAATAGAGTGTTGTGTAGGATTCTTATGGCCGACTCACTCAGGCTAATACTGAAAACAAAGGGGAATGTGCACACACCTAACAGGAATTTCCTCAGATAAACAAAAGGCTTAAACACTGGATTCTTATCAGCAACAGCCAGCAGATGCAGGAAACCTTTTGTGGGAAACTCTGGGCACCAGCTCTGAAACAAAGTCAATTCTAACGTTTAAATGGAGGGCAAAATCACACACCAACCTCGTTTTCAAAAATAAAACACACAAACGCTTTACACACTTAGATTTTTATTTTGAAAAGAAAAAAGAAGCTTAAAGAAAAGTAGGAAGACAATACTTTTAAATTTTATATAGTAAGTCACTTTATTGTATTGTATTTTCATTAAAAATATGCTAAAAGTAACAGAGTTCACATAGGATACATAAATTAGTCCTCATTCCTTATGGTTCATAAAAATAAATATAAATATTTTAGTGCCTTAGAGGAATTTCCTGTAAAATATTTTGACTAATTATAAACACAAACAAAAGCTTCCTCACTTCTATTTTTATTATTCTAAAATTTGGAATTAGCCAACTATCCAAAAAAATGGGTAGAGAAACTATCTACAATAAAATTAAAGTTACATATGTACAAATGCAAAATTGATGCACATTCCCAATCCATTTTTTATCTGCCAGTTTACAGAACCTTTTCTCTCTTCCACATCCATAAATTTCCACTCCAATTTTGAAAAAAGTGGCATCTGCCTTAAAACCAGGGAATACCATTTTAAGCTGATTTGTAGCATCATTTCTTACTGACTTTCTGTCATTACTTTGGTTATTAGCATCAGTAACTGTTAATATATTCTTGAATTTTCTGTTTCAATATTCTTGATTCTGTACCTTTGCATATTCCATTCTCTCCACATGGATCCTCTTATCCCTACTGGTCATCTGCTAGCACCTACTCAACTTTCAGGCCTTGAATTCTTTCCGCTAACAAGTCTTCCCTGACCTCAACTGAAGTAAGAGGCCATGTTATTTATTCCTGTTGCAGCCACTGTTTTCTCCTAACATAGAATTTCTCACACTGTAGAGAAAGTCTGTTTGCCTGCCTGCCTGCCTGGTACATCACAATATCTCAAACATCTGACACAGGGCTCACACAAAGTAGACAGCCAGGACTGTGACCTGTGTGAGAGAGCTCAATGCTTGCGTAGAACCCTTTGAGCTATGTAACTCTGGGAAAATTAGACTGAAACAGAGTAACATTCCATAAAGCAAGAAAAACAATATTGTGAACACTAAATTAGTATGGCAGCATTCAGAAAAAGGAACACTAATAATGCAAAATTAGTTTACTGTCTGATGCTATCTACAAAAGTGTCACACAAAAAGGATGACAACAAATATCACTGAAAGAGGACAGTGATAGCACCTTCTGGGTGGCAAAGAGAATAGCCATGGTATAATAGATAACACTTGCCTGCAAATCAGGCCTGAGTTCTCATCATCCTGGTTCCAAATCTAGTCACTAGCTCTGAGATAGTCACTCCTCTCTCTGGATAGTAAGAACCCCTCTAATGCTGAAGTGCTGGAATTTTATGGGAATAAAGGATTTGGGGAAGATGGTGGCTATGGCAACACAGTTTTTAAATCTCTCCAATTCCCAACATAAAAACACACAGGGAAACTAGATCTCAAAACAAAACCCACAGGCAGCATATACTACAAAACTAAGTGACAAGATATCCACAAAAAACCCAGATACAAGCAGGTGTGGACAATCCCCATATTATGACTTGCATAATATCAGCATGTAGGCAGGAGAAAGAAAAGGGAGGCACCAGGGCAACTTAGAGGTCTAGAATAAGAGAACCCCCAAGTCCAACAGGTGGTCACTGGAAAGTGAGATGGGCCAACTCGAGGACAGTAACTCAAACTGGGAGGGTTTGCCCACTGCAATACTGGGTGGGCACAAGGGGTCCTCAGGAAGGGTGAAGCAGCCTATGAACTCATGAAACTGACCCTTCAGCCTTCTCTTCCAGGACAGGATCCCACACTTGGGAGAAACTACTCAGAGAGGAATCAAAACCTGAGCAAGGTAGAGATAACAGAGAGGAAGAGAAAAAAGGTTCTGATAAAAATGGGATGGAAACAGGGGTAGGAAATCACAGAAAGCAAGCCACCACCTTTTTAACACTGTATGAACACAGAAGAAGAGTGAGCTCTGTGCAGCAAGGAAAGCTACCCTAAACTACATCTTCCTCTAAAAGTTCAGAAAAACTAATTTCCTAAGAAAATTACCAGCAGCAAAGTATCAATATCAAATCCCACTCAAAATTATTATAAGGAAAAAAGTGAGTAGAATAACATTACATACAATAAAAGCATGCCAGAAAGACATAGGTCAGATCAAAATATAGCCTTTTATTTCAAAATGAACTAAAATATGTTTTAAAAAATCACACATGCTGTGAAAGGACAACATAAATCAGAAACGAAGTGACAAGATTCAGGAAAGGATTTTTAAAAAATCATTTCTGAAATAAAGACTACACTAGACAGAACACAAGAATAAATAAACACAATAGGTAATATCTTAAAAGAAATAGGTGGAAAGAGGAAACTTTTCTAAATAAAGAAACGGAAGAAAGCAATAAAAAGGATTTGAAAGAAAGTAACAAATAATAAAGACAGGCAGTAAGCTACCAACATGCAGCTAATAGACATATCAGAATAAAAAAAAAATCAAAGCAATTATTCAAAATTATAATATAGAAAAACTTCCCTGAAATTAAAAGAAAAAACTTCTGAAACCAAACACTGAAAGCATATAATAAAACCCAGAATAACTAACACATTCTAACATTCTAGTAAACGCATAGACACATTCCAGTAAAGTTACTGGGCTTTATTTAAAAAAAAAAAAATTCTTTGGGTATCTAGGAAAAACATCAAGTGACTTTTAAGGAAAGAAAGCAATTTTATTCTCATCACTCTTTGGCAGCAACACTTCATGCCAGACAAAAAATTGAAAGTAACACATTGAAGGCACTCAAGGAAAGGAAACGTGAGCCAAGGATTTTAAACCCATCAAAACCGACTGTCACATATAAGGAATACAAATATGCCAGAACTCAGGGGATAGATACTGTTCCCACAAATGCTTTCTGAAAAATCTACTAGAGCTTGAACTTCAGACAACCAAAATGAATAAAGGGAGATCAACAAAAGGACTGGTGGTGTTACACATATAGTTAGTTACTTGTAAAACTGAGACTAAGTGAGAGCCAGAGGGGAAACAGTGTATGCAGTGGCTGAATGACCAGTGTAGATACAGCACACCTATTTTTACCCTCCGTCGGGCGCAACTGATCTCGCAGATTCATTGCACACAAATTTTCAAATATTTAACAGCTAACTTAAGTATCGTGACTCATCGCTTCCGTATCTTCCCCGTCTACCGTAACCTATCACCAGTCGTGTTTGTGACTTAGTACAGTAAAGACGTATTTCATAGCGGCATCTTTGTGTACAATGAATCTGTGAGATCAGTAGCACCCAACGGAGGGTTTAAAATGCGGGAGGAATAGGGAGAAAACATACAAAAAAATTCTTTTTAACTGGTTTAGTAATTATTTGTTAGTGTACTCCTGAATTTGAATAGAAAGTTATCAGTATGACCTCATGAGGCACTTTCCACCCCCACCCCACCCCCCCAAAAAATCATAGCTCTTTCCACTGAAAAGAACTAGAAATAAGGATCAATCCGATAGAGATGAATATTCCTGACAGGTAGACTGTGGTCTTGAAATACCATTTCCCACTAAAAGAAACCAGAGTTTCTCAGGTATGGTTGATTCCAGATCTGGGGCAGGAAAATGTAAAAGATGGGGCAGGAAATGTACAAAACGGTTCTCAAACTTTTTTCACAGCAGACTTTAAGGAAGCTATCCAAATCCACCAGGTCACAAAAACACTAACCTGAAGAGGCTCCTACTGGCCAAAGATGGGGCAATTTGAGCTTTAAATAGAATAATTGGAAATGAATGAAATTTATCAAATAAGTTAAAATGTATAAATTCATAATAATATGTAAAAAAAACCTAATTAGTCACCTTTGGAGGGTAAGGAACCAATTTACTATCCTAATGATAAAGGAAAAGGCATTTTTCCTGCCTTCCCTATGTGAACTGTATCACCAAGTAGCCAAACAGTCGATGAAGGCAAGCATCTCTTTAAAAAGCATTCCAACTAATAAATGAAAAATAAATCATAAAATATCATCATTTGCAACCACCAATGAACCAACAGACCTGTGGCACTGAACATTAACAGCTACTAACATCATAAAGAGAGGCACAATGTGCCTCCTGATGAAAGAACACTGACTTCTAGTCTCACTAAAGGGATCAAACAGGAGTCTGATCAAGCCTCTGGATCTAGCTGCCAATTTGCAGGAAACACGCAGGGCTGAGGGACAGGTACAACTTTACCATTAATATGCAATCAGCAAAACCTATACCACAGGCACTTAATAGCACACATACCCTTGGTTCCTCAACAATGATCTGTATTTTCAATTAGTGGGCCCAGTACAGGTATTATTATATGGTTAATTTTATGTGTCAATTTGACTAGATCATGGGGTACCCAGGTATGTGGTCAAACATTATTCTGAGTGTGTCTATGAGGGCGTGGCCACATGAGGTTAGCATTTGAATCTGTAAACTAAGTAAAGCAGACTGCCCTCCTCGATGTGGATAGGCATTATCCAGTCTGCTGAGGGCGTGAAGGCACAAAGAGTTGGAGGAAGCGAGAACTTGCTCCTTCCCTGCCTGACTGCTGAGCTTACACATCAGTCTTCTCCTGCCCTTGGACTGGGAATCATCACCATCAGCACTACTGGTTCTCAGGCCTTTGGATTCAGATTAGAATTTATATCACCAGCTTGGGACTTCTCGGTCCTCACAATCACACGAGCCAATTCCTTATAATAAACCTCACTGTGTATATATAAAGAGATATGGATAGAAATAGATCTATACCTCTATGTACAGAGATATAGATATTAATATATCTATATCTCGATAGCTATATATCTCCTATTGGTTCTGTTTCTCTGGAGAACCTTGATTAATACAGGTATTCAATAACTATTTGTAGTTTAGACTTTATTTGATTGATACACATCTTTGAAATTCTATGAACAGCACTATTCAATGAAATTTTATTTACAAATTATAAAACCTAAAGAATTACTTCATAGAATCATTCCATAAAAATCCATGACTATTATTATATAAACATGGGAAAACCAATGATATGTTTAGATGTATTAACTAATTGCAGAATCTAATGCATAACTGGTTTTCTTAACTAGAGTTCTTCCCTCTTTGCTTTGATTTCCTCATATAAGATGAAGTTTCAAAAACACTGAAATTTACACGCTCAGGGCTGTTCTCCTAGCTGATGGGTTAGTTTGAGCCATTTTTATTGTATCTGTGTCTGGTCCCTGAGTGGTCACCGGCATAAAATTGTGTGGTGTGTGACCAGGGTTAAGGACCACAGAACAGCATTTTTCCCTCATCTAAGTTAACCAAATGTCCAAAGTAATTACATAGAAGACCTTGAATTCATTAGGAGTATACTCCAATAAATTCCATCTACATTTTAAAATTTATATACAACAATCCAAGATATTTTCTAATATCACAGAAAACAAATTTGCAGTTCTTTATTCCTTTTTGGAAAAACTTTTTAAAACACACTTTGTCTAAAGTATGCCAACCTGAAGTAGGGCTGTTAAATGGAATAAGATACTGTGTAGTTTCATGAAAACTAAGTATGTTCCAATATACAGAATGGAATTAGTCACAGCTGTATCCAAAAGAATAAACACAAATGGCTGAAAAAGACAGCTGACCGGAACTTGTGTAAGAGTTACCTCAGAAATGTTTTTGTCAGTTTCTTTTCTTTTTTCTTCCAGTTTCCTTTCAATACCTACAATTCCTACAGCTCTTATTCTTCCTGGCTGAAAAATAAAAGTAGAAAATAAAACATACAAAATAGGAAGGACACAATCTTTTGTAACCCACCACATTGTGTTTTCAATGGCGGGAAAGGACCCATAAAGGACCAAAGAAAAACAGCATACAATTACATCTAGTTTCCTTTCAAAACATTTGTCAGTTTCTTGCCATTCATAACAATCTTCAAATCATCATAAAGAAGCTTTCAACATACAATAAATGGCATATTTGACTCTTCATTTCACTTATAAATTACATTTCCTATCCATTTTTGGTTTTGGCAACCTATTATGTATCCGATATTTAATAGGGTCTCAAATGTGCAAAAAATTATAGTTAAAAGTTCTGGTACTTGACAGTTATTACACAAACTACTTTTACACATCTGAGTATCTGTCCATAGTTGGTATTTAATTTAAAATTGGCCTGGAAAATGTTATTCAGTGGTATTGTCTGCTCTCTCAGATGTCACAGTGATTATGAAGAACAGAATAAAGCTGGTGGAATCTAACTTCTACCGTCCCAAGAATTACTCTGTAGTCATTTATTTTTATTGTGTCTTTTGTCTATGGAGCACTAAATTAGGTTCTGTGAGAATAAATTTTTAATGAAATATTTTATTTCTGGAAAGTTCTATATTCACAGAAATATTTTTCCTTAATGAAGGTAAGTACAGAGCTGAAAACACTGGATTAAGCAACAGTTTAAATTAAAAAAAAAAGAAACCATTTTAAAAATACCTGGGGTCCTCTATTTGTTTGTAATGACTGGGAAACTGGCATATTCTCCCATCTTCTCTGTGTCATTTCCTCTGACAAACGCCTGTAAAACTGTTATACACATAGATACACTTTAAATGAGTCAGTCAGGTTGTGGCATCCTCCTACAAATCACTACTTAACATTTCTTTAGTTGAAAGGTCTGTTCAGTCATTTGCAACAAGTCTAGAATTCTCAGAGACATCAAAGAAAATCAAAGGAAGTTCTTTTCTTGGATCAACTTCAGAAAGAACAAAGAAAAAAAAAAAGAAGGAACTGACCTTCTATATAAAGTGAGCTATTCTCAACAAAGAGATGAGTGACAATGAAATAAATAGACTTACTTTAAACAATCCTGCCTATGTGGATTGTTTTCAATCTATAGTGAAACAGACGCAGTGCCAAGAAAAATATACAACCATTATCCATGAAGGAAGCAGAGAATAATTTGTGTAATTAAAATGTGTAGGGAGCCTTAATTTCAGAAATTAGGACCAAAACATGCCTCTGTTCACAAAAAATCAACTGTATTTTTCACCTACAGTGAGACTGATTTCAGTTAGTAACTTATGTTTGCTTAGTGCCTACTGTGTAAGGAGCCCTGGGTGAGGTGCTGTAGAAAAAAAGAGCATAGATAATTTATGACATCGATGGGGCAATCAACACACACACTTATAAATGTTTAAAGAATACTTACACAGCAGCTTATTAATCAGAACATACAAACTATTATACTATGGAGGAAGTATGTAAGTGATCATATTTGTATGGAGTTAATAAAGATACACTGCTGATTTAAGGCTGGTGAGCTTTCAGATAGTGGGGTAATTTAACATGTCACTGCATTACACTCTGTCCCTTTAACCGGACTGCATATACCACTGAAAACTTTACTATTGGCATATTTCTAGTGTCCGCTCTTTCCTTGTGATCACACCCTCCTGCTTCCTGTTCCCACTGAAACCTAAACTTCATATTCTCCACTGATAAGGCTTACGATATCAAAAATGTTATTGCAAAAATATGGTGATGCCTGGTATGCTGCCTTCATCATATTAACAATATGGAAACAATATTGCCTTCCATCATATTAACAAACAAACAACAAAAACTTCTAGTCCAATTTTACTCATACAGAAAAAAGCACACATTTCTAGAAACTTACCTCAATCTGGCCATGTTCTTTGAAGGAGAGTTTAATGTAGGAATTCTTACAGCTCTGGAACGGACCGAGCTCTTTGTTAGGAGGAGCTGGGTGAAGATGAACTACTATTTTGGCACTAAAGAAAAAGTGAATGCAATATATAAAATTGCCTTTTAAAAGTCACTAATTTTATTTTCATAACTTTTAATATATTTCAGGTCATATTTAAAATTCATGTAGAAACAAAGAACATCCTGAAAGGAATCCTTTAAAAGTCTGTATTAATTCAGTATTGATGGACGTTTCAAAAATATCTCTACTTAAAACTTACAAACTAGGAATAAAAAAAGTTCGAGTTACTAGGTCTATAGATTAAATAAAAATGTGGTATTAGGAAATAAGTTCAAAATAAATTTGTAAAATTTAGGGTGGTTTATGATTTTTGTTTATGATTAGGGTTTTCCATCTACACAGTCATCCCCAGAGGTTACCAGAAGCCTATAATTTTTGCCAAAGCATACCACATTACTCATTTGAAAACAAAATGTGAAAACTTATCTGTGTAAAACTGGCGAGCTGACATTGTATTAAAACTCCATCCAAAACTAACATCGTACAGTGTCATTTTTGGAAAATGCCACTCAATCAACAGCATGATTGAGAAAGATATCCAATAGCAAAAACAATTCTCAAAATGCAGCTGCTCTAGGAGCACAAATTACCATAATCTTTATGACTACCGTTATCTTCCATGCTATCAAAAATATCACTATATTTGTTCAGCTTTATGTCTCTTTTCCTCTTTTTTTCCCAACCCGCTCAATAAACAATTTTCTATAAAGATCAGCGAAACCAAAAAACTTAGCCAAAATACCTTGGATATCTAGCTTAAAGCTTTTCCTTATGATCACATTACAGATTCACATACTACTCAATTTTACTTTGTTTAGGCCCGTATGGCTGCCCAAATATCACCATCAAACTGAAACAACATGTGTGGGGCCTATTCAATGTAACAAACATTTTGTTCAGTGAACTGGGGACAGATTTGTAAGAACTTTTCATCTATCCCTCTGTAGTGAACATCTTTAGGTGAGATGAGCAAATAAACTGTGCATGCAGAATCACACACTGTTTGAAATGAACTGCCAGGTAGAGCAAAGAAACTGTGACAATTAGGATTGGGTGACTGAGCAAAAGCATTATATAATCTTTAAAATTAAAAAACCTGAGCCCTGCTATCAGATTTTGTCAAAGGAAACCCAATGAAAAGCCTAAGAGATTATGACACAAAATGAAGTTTAAAAATCCCAAAGTCGGGCCGGCCGAGTGGCACATTGGTTGAGAAGTGGCTTGGGATGCCAGCTCTGAGCAGCAGGGCCCCGGTTCGGATCCCACATGAGGGCCAGTGACACTGCCCTCTACAGCAAAGATGCTGAACAACAGCTCGACCTGGTGATGGCGTAGGCTGCAGTCCCTGTTGCAGTGGGCTGCCATAAGCTACCATGAGTGGCCGGCAGCCAGCGTGAGCGGCTGGTAGCCGGTGTGAGTTGCCAAGAGCCACCGTAAGCGGCCATCCAGAGGCCGGTGACTGATCTGCCTCACCCGGGAAGAGCGCAATGATAATACCAACACGGGCCAGTGAAGCGACGTCCTCCACAACTAGACTGAAGAACAAAAACAGCAACTTGTCTGTTCCCCTTCCCCGATTCCCCAATGCTGCTCCCCTCCTCAAATTCCCCAATAAAATCTTTAAAAAAAAAAAAATCCCAAAGTCAACATAAAAGATCCATACCAATTTTTTCACATATTCATTTCTTGGGTCATTCAATGTTGTATTTCATCAAGTTTAAAATCCATCATTTCAAAGAAGTATCTTGGGTTCAGAGATGTTTAAGGGTGAAAATATATACACATCTTTGAATCAACGAGATATGGTAATTGGGGAGGCGGGGACAAGCTGGGAACTAAAGAGAATATTTGAGAAAAGTTAACCTGGCATATGACTGAATTCCTTCTCAGTGGAGGTGTTTATAAATAAGACACTACAGAGAGAGGGGAAAAATGGCGGCGGTGAGGAGGACTCCCTGAATTCTCTCCGGGAGAACACAGCAGCGAAGGGACTCCCAAGCTGAGTGCTTAAAGGTGGGCAGACCAGGCAAGTCAGGGAAGAGGGAGGGGAGGCACGTGGAGACACAACCCACACCCCACAGCTGTGTAGACATGAGCTGCTTTGCCAGGGGGTGCCTGGTGTCGGAGGGGGCTTTTTTCTTTTTCCTATTTTCTTTTCTCTTTCTTTTTTCTCCTTTTCTCTCAGATAGGACAAATAAACTGCATAGATAAGTGCACACCCCCACCCTCCCTCAGAAACCTTGGCCCCCTCCCTGCCAGAGCCTGAGGCTAACTCTTGAAGAGAGGAGTAAGTCAGAACAAAGGTGCTTCGACTCCCTGGGGGTTGAGTAATTTACATGAGAAAAGGCTGCAGGAGGGAGCTACTAAACACGCTGTCCCCGCCCCCTGCACAGCTGGCAAAGCAGAACAGCTTTGGCTGCTGAGGCACAGGAAGGCCTACCAGCAGCTCTGAAATCTCCACCCCCATCCTCCAACAGCCCCAGTGGAAAGAGCACCCAAAGACGCACATCCAGTCCTCTGGCTGCGCAGAAATCAGAGTGCCTCTGGACAGACAGGAGCAGAAATAACACTGACTTTGTAAAAAATACTACCAATCACGCCTCATAACTCCACTCATCTAAACGAGACCTGCCATTACCAAGCTCACTCTAGGTGCCAGGCGGCTGGCTCTGCCCCCACAAGACACACAGGAGTGTGTGTATAGCAGAGGAAAACCTGGGGAGAGCTTGGCGGACTTCAGCCAAGATTATTTCTGGTTATTTCTTGTTTTCGCTCCCTTTTTTTTACTTTTTTTTATTGTTTTCAGTTTGGGTTTTTCTTCTGATGTGTTATATTGTTATTGTTAATTGGGTTCTCTTGGATGTCTTGGGGTTTTGGGGTTTTTTTCCATTGATCGCTTGCGTTGGTTGTTTTTGGATTTTTCTATTTCATTAGTAATTTTAGTTTTTTATATAGACATATATAAAGGTGCATATATGTGGACATATATGTCCATATATATGGGGGTGTCGACATATATATTTTTTTCTCTGCATTTTTCTCCCTTTCTTTCCTTCTCTTCTAACCTCTCTCTCTCCCTTCTTTCCTGCTTCCTTGTCATAGCTTGATTTGCCTCCTCCTTTCCTTTTTTTTCTGCAAGTTTTTTTGTTTGTTTGTTTTGTTTTTCTTCTTTTCTCGTTGTTGTTTGGTTTCTGTTGGTTTGTTTTCTCCTTGTGTTTGATTGATATTTCTATACATGTGGAGTATAGGGTGATGGTTGTTTTGTACATCAGAGCATATCTGGTTACCTTTGGTGGCTGTTGTGGTTGTGCTTGTTGATCTGTTTTGCCCTAAAACATGCTCCGCAGTGGGGCCCAGCCAAAGAAGCACAAGAATCATCACATCCAGAGACTAAGTTTAGATAAAACCAGAGCATTACAGGGTCTGACCTACAAGACTCACATTCAAAGGGAAATTTCTACAGGCACAAGAGCCCCTTGGGGTCAAGCCTCATCAGAGGGGTCAACCCTCACACAACAGCTTATAAACTTTGGACACAGCTAATTCTCACGGCTAGTTAGCTTGGGAGTCAAGCCCACCTACTGACAAGCCAAAAGCAATAAAAACTAGACCTCATCAAGAGAAGGCACATAACACAAAGAACACCTCTGGGAGAAAAGGGAGTCTGAGCACTTGAAATATAAAAGACATATACCACATAAGTCTACCCAGAAAAGTCTGAGACCTAGGCGATCTACCTATTTCATCGAAGTAAACACAAAGAGTAAACCAGAATGGGAAAGCAAAGAAACACATCCCAAATAAAAGAACAGAAGAAACCCCCTGAATCTGTGGAGTTAGAGGAAATAGAGGTAAACAACCTATCGGACACACAGTTCAGAACACTGATTATTAGAATGCTCAAGGAAATTAATGAGAATGAAAAGAAGGA